GGCGGCGGCGGCGGCAGCAGCAGCGGCGGCGGGAGCCCGCAGTCGTACGAGGAGCTGCAAACGCAGCGGGTCATGGCCAACGTGCGGGAGCGCCAGCGCACGCAGTCGCTGAACGAGGCGTTCGCCGCGCTGCGCAAGATCATCCCCACGCTGCCCTCGGACAAGCTGAGCAAGATTCAGACCCTCAAACTGGCGGCCAGGTACATCGACTTCCTGTACCAGGTCCTCCAGAGCGACGAGCTGGACTCCAAGATGGCAAGCTGCAGCTATGTGGCCCACGAGCGGCTCAGCTACGCCTTCTCGGTCTGGAGGATGGAGGGGGCCTGGTCCATGTCCGCGTCCCACTAGCAGGCGGAGCTCCCCACCCCTCGGCAGCCGGAGACCTAGGTAAGGACTGGCGTCCAGGGTCGCTGATCCAGGTTGTGGCGGGCCTGCCAGGCCGCGGCTCCGTGCCACCTCGCCACCCTTCCTCTGCCCGCTCCCCTCACTCCCTGCCCACCTACCCAGGCGCAGCCCACTTCCTCCCACCCGATTCTCCGGCAGGTAGTGAGGTCCCGGCCAGGAAGACAGGTCCCCCGGGAGGTGGGGGGTGCCCTTGAGAGGGGAGTTGTGCGTGTGCGAGAGTGTGCGTGACCGACAGGAAGGCTGAGAAACACTTGAAGGTCAAGAGTAAGGGCCGTGTCGCCAGAGCCCCCCCTTCTTTCTCCTTGAAAATTCCCTTCTTCTTAAAACAAATGTTTCCAAATTCCACCTCCTCCTTTCCGCCCACCCACTTCCTCTTGCCCTCGGGCTGAAATCCTTCCAGGTTGTTCAGCGAAATTTCTCGCTGGTGGTGATAGCAGAGCTTACTAGTCTTTAGAGCACAGCCACAGAGACCCACACAATAACCAACTTTCCCCCTCTGGGTTTTTGCAGATGTCATTGTTTCCAGAGAAGGAGAAATGGACAGTCTAGAGACTCTGGAGCTGGATAACTAAAAATAAATCTATATGACAAAGATTTTCTTGGAAATTAGAAGAGCAGAACCCAAATTCAAAAGAAACAGGGCGTGGGGCGCACTTTTAAAAGAGAAAGCGAGACAGGCCCGTGGACAGTGATTCCCAGACGGGCAGCGGCACCATCCTCACACCTCTGCATTCTGATAGAAGTCTGAACCTTTGTTTGTGCCCCCCCCCCTTTTTGACGAAGAATGTTTTTATTTTTTTCATGCATGCATTCTCAAGAGGTCGTGCCAATCAGCCACTGAAAGGAAAGGTATCCTTGTGGACTTGCTCCATTTTAAAATGGTAACCATCAGAGGAATTTTAAGAACACCTTTAGAAATAAAAACGCTGGGATCAAACTGGCCTGCAAAATCATAGTCAGCTAATTCCTTTTTTTAAAAAAAAGAAATTCTTCCTCTGAGGGAAAAGAAAAACTTAAAATACAAAAAACAACATTCTATTTATTTATTGATGACCCATGGTAAAATGCAAATAGATCCGGTGTCTAAATGCATTCATATTTTTATGACTGTTTTGTAAATATCTTTGTATATTATTTTTCTGCAATAAATAAATATGATTGAAAATTTTAAGAACCTTAGAGTTTGGTCTATATTTTTAAAGCTCAGGATTAAATTGGTGGTAAATACTTGCTTGTTTAACTCTAGGGGCACCCAGTAGGGAGAGGGTGTGAATAAAAACAAAGCACTGAAAACCTCAAATAAACCCGCTACTGACAGGGACAGCCATGCCCTTTTAAAAGACAGCTCTATTATTATTTCAGCTTGGTGTTCAGTGGACTTACCATCTCCCATCTCTTATCAAGTTTTCCAGCAGCAAAAGTTTAACAGTTTTGCTACACCTCTTGCTAACAATGTGAACTAATAGCTCTAAAACATTCAAACAAGCAGCGTGAAACTAATATTTTCTCTTGTGACTATGGGGTTTTTTGTTGTTTATTTTGTTTTGTTTTGGTTTGTCTTCACTTTTGTGAAGGTTCTTTAAAAGTCTTAATTTTGGTCAAAGAACAGTGTGCCAATAAAAATAATTATGCATGCATTTATAAGAATACAAATGTGCAGAAAATTGTAATTCAGCAGGAAAAGGACAGTTTACTTGTGATTTGCCTACCTCTTCTTTCATGAATGAATTTCAGAAGTCCAGTGTCATGTTGGTTAAGAAAAAAAAAAAACAATTTTACTATATTGATGTCATCTGTCTTGGAAACATGCTTCTAATTTATACAGAAAGAATATCTAGCTGTGGAGTAAAATGAATAAAGAACAAAATTTTCAGTATCTTCAATAACTGTTGAAACAAGTACAGTTTTCAACTGTACAGCTATTCAGTTTTCAGTCAGCTCTTTGACAAAACATTTTATATGCAATTGTGCATAAATTTATTCTGGAGCTACAACACACGCACGCACACATAACACACCTGAAGAAGTTCAGTATAGTAAAAACAAATGATGCAAATTTTTATTTCATTCCGGTTATTTCTGGGTCAGGAACATACTGCTTTTTTTCTAATGAATATGATGAAAATAGTAATATTTTTATCATTTTAGTCCTAAAATTTTTCACCCAGCTTACCACATTCAAATGTAAATAAGGATGTTTTCAAATTGGACATTTATTTTGGTGCCTAATTCATACAGTGACTATAGCAAATAAGTGTATGTATCTAAATAGATTGTATTTGCTTAACTGAGGCAGAGATTATTTTATTGTGTGAAGATTTTTGTCTCTTCACACAGCAGTACCAAATGCACCGACAGCACTGTAAACTCATTACTGTGAATATTTGAGATCACATTTTTCAGTAAGGAGCCTGTAACATTGATTTATATTAAAAGGCTATTGAAACTGTGGGGAGTTAATATTTTCTATTTTTCCATTTTGTAGATTTTGGTCATGACTTTCCATGTAATGAAAGGAGAAGGTGGTGCCCTGTGGTGGCACATTTGTGGGCTGTTTGGGCACTTGGGGCATGTCTGCTTGTAGGTAGAAGGCAGGTGTCCCAAAGGCTAAAGGGAAAGACCCAGCCCGTTATTCTCTCTTGCATGTATAGTCCCATCATCTCCATTTTCTAGATGCTCATTGTGGAGCCTCCTTTTTCTCTAGCTTGGCCTGGCTATTTGACGTTGCAGATGTCTGAAGTTCACCAAGATGAAGATAACCATGATGGCTGAGCAGGTAAACACCATTTTAACTCTGGGTGGATATGCTCCTTGTTTCAGAAGAGGGTAACCTTATATTTGTCTTTTTAGCTTTTAGTAATAGTTTGATTTCCACTTTCTCCATAAGAGGAAACTTGGGAGAAAGGCAATTGCCATATTTACAATGAATAATATTAAATAGAAAACTGAAAAAAAATGTTTTCTCCTGTATTGTCAGAAGAATGCATAAACTTTTAAAAAGGTGATGAGTAGTTTTAATTTGAATGAGACTTCATAATGGAAATATTGCCAAGAATAGGATCTTCAGCTTACAAACCGTTTCTATATTCTCCTATACATGTGACGTAAAATGCTCTGCTCCTTTTATTCTAGAAATGAAGCCACCTGTGTTGTTCGACTCTGTTACTCTCATTTTATTTTAGTGGGTTGTATTTTCATTACCTACACTTGCTTAAAGTTAAACACATTAAATAGGTTACCTATTTCATGGCTGAGAAGCTAAGTCTTCCCATTTAATGGGCCTGGCCTCAAGTCTTTGTCCTGCAACCAGAATGCTAGGGAGAAGCATTGTGTTAAATGGTCTGGGGTCTGAAGAACTGGAGAAAAATATGCAAATAATTATCTTGTTTTTAATTTGCTCAGATTGATAGCCTTCAGGAGGAAAAATCAGTAAAATGTGCTCATGCACACATTTCCCCAATCTGCTCAAATACTAATTAAGAAATGCACAGATAATCCATGCTCAGCTGCAGATACCCTCTCCCAAGTGCAACATACTAATAAAACAACGCCAAATGGAAACTCAAGACTCACACAACCTGTGTCCTTTCTTCCCACATTTAACACTGGCACAAGCTTCCTGCCCCTTGGGTCTTCGGGCTCATATTCATAAGGGAGCTTTTTAAGGGACACTTGGCCTCTTGAAAAAAAGTAGAGCATTTTGCACATTCCACGGTTTGGCAAAGTCAGAACTAGTTATTTTCTCTAGACCGGTATCAAGTTCTTCTCAGGCATATGATTTCACTTGAAGTCCTGCCCAGGAATCCTTCAAAGTGAGCGTTTGTCCCGCTCTCATGATGTCAGGCGGTTTTCCCTGCATCTGTAATTTGAAGAAAAACAAACAAACCTGCGGGGGAAGAAACGCCACGGAAACCCAAACAGAACTCTGTGGGAAGCGAGGGTCTCACCTGCGGCGGGCGCGCCAGAGGGGCACGGGCCCAGGCTCCCCTGCGTGGGTGGCGGCTCAACCCGCACGTCGAGAATGACAATATCGATGCCCTCCGCGGATGGCGTGGACCCGCCGCGC